TTAAGGAGGGCACGTTCTGCATGGAGCACTGGGTGTTATATGCAAATAATGAATCATGGAACACTACATCAAAAACTAATGATGTAATGTATGGTCATTAGCATAACATAATAATAAAAATAAATAAATAAATAAAGATGAATCTGAAAAAAAAGAAAGCAAGGCTTTGCAATAGTTTGCTTGCTGTAAAAAAGCAGTTGTAATTTTCTGATTTGATATATTAATGACTTTTATCCAAAATTAGGTGACCAACTATCCCAGTATGCCTGAGATTGAGGGGCTTCTTGGGACACAACATGTTCAGTGGCCAAACCAGGAAAATCCAAGGCAAACTGGGAGGAGTAGTTTACCCTATCTAGAGGGCAAGCGAAACGAAAAGAGGCTAAGGCTGAAATTGGCAAAGAAGTAATAGCTACTGACAGGAGCTAGGATTTGGGATGTTTGGTCATTTTTGTGATTTTGGCAATGTTCATGTTTTTGCTTGGATTCAGACATGACTACAAAGTGATCTCTCATCTCTGACTTGATCCATCATGGTGACAGGGTGGCCATGTCTGATGTTGCTTTCACTAGGAGAACATTGGGCCAGCTCCCAGCAACACCAAGGTTTTTACACAGGGTCAGAGCAATTTCTAGCTGTCAGGGGCTGTTTTCCTTTTTTCCAGTTCTCTTCTTTATGGATTTGAGGGATACTTTTGGAATTGACCTTAGAGTTTACACATGTGATCTAGTTGCTAGAGACTTGGTTTCAGCCACATTGATCTGTACCCTAATGAGATGCTTTAAGCTTTGAAACATTGAGTAATAAAACAGTTATCCATCACCCTTAACACAACTTTTTTTTTCTTCAATAGAGAAAAATGTTTTAACATTTGAGAACAAATGCTAAGTTACTAAATGTTAAAACAAGAAGAAATCAAATATTCTTTCCCCTTGAGATTCAAAACTCACATTAGCATATTTCACTGTTCTTAGTGATACTGCTGTAAAGAAACCTAGCTTATCTGATATAGAACAAACGTACTTTTCACAGAACATATAAACATTTGCATGAACATTAATATTTCACTATTAAACCAGTGTTGTATGGATATACTAGTTTATTTAGTGATGTTTCCCAGTTGTGCTTTTTGTTTTTAAAAATTAGAAATATATTTAAGGAGTAAATAATTATTCTGATTTAAAATAAAATAAATTTTCCATGGGGCGCCTGGGTTTTGCCAAAATCACATTGCCAAAATCACAAAAATGACCAAACAGTCGGTTGAGTGTTGGCCTTCAGCTCAGGTCATGATCCCAGGGTCCTGGGATCGAGCCCCTGCATTGGGCTCCCTGCTCCGCGGGGAAGCCTGCTTCTCCCTCTCCCACTGCCCCTGCTTGTGTTCCCTCTCTTACAGTCTCTCTCTCTGTCAAATAATAAATAAATACAAATCTTAAAAATAAATAAAAATAAAATAAATTTTCTTATTTACAGTAATTGAAAAGATAGTTTCATCTTTTTCAGGTTTGCTAATTTAATATTAGGAAAAATGTTAAATGGTGGTTAGATTTTTTTTGAGAGAAAACCTTAAACTAATAAATGAACATATATAGTTGATGTAGTTTAGTCACTAAGGTTTAATACTAGTTAAATTGTGAAACATTATTTTAATTATTAACATTCAGCTATCTTAAACTATTCTGTTGTCCTGTATATTAATTAAATTAATTATTTAGCAATTAATCTTTATAACAATGGTGGAAATAATATAACCTTAGCTATGTTATAATCATGATATAGTTCACATTCATGAACTTCTCTCTAGATTCTGACGACTACCTTGAGGTCAATATTCCAACAGACCTAGGAGTGGAACATTCTGGGGAAATAAGTAAGAGAAAGGAAATTGAAGAATTATCAAAAGCTTCAAGAGACACCATACCCCTGGCAATGGTGCTTCCTACTGAAATTCCATGTGAGGTGAGTAAGATACCTTGTTATTTAAGTGGCTGGCTCTATTGTTTTCATAAATATTGCATTTCACTAGAATGTAAGCTCTAACATAGCTGGGCACTTCTGTTTACTTTGTTCATGGCTGTGTCCTCAGAACCCAGAACGATATCTGGCAATTAGTAGGCATTTGATAAATATTTGTTGAATAATTTAATATTGGAGAATATATGAAAGCCTAATTTTATCAAGTGGTATTTTACATGTTGCCAAAAGATATATAATTGCTATATATACCAAGCCACTTAAAATAAAAGTTGGATTCATATTAACCAGATCAGGGATTTTATTTTTATAAATGGAAACATATTCTTGAATAGGATTTGAGAATACTTATATTCTAGGATCACCGATTTTTCAATTCTGAATCATGTATTAAAGGCCTACATTATTAAGTGGAAATCATGTATTAAAGGACCACCTAGATGAGGTGGTCCTTTCAGGAATAAAAGGATAATGTAGCAGGGGATGGAGTGTGGATTTCTGAGAAGGTGACTATATGAGTACATGTCTTCCTCCTAAGTCATCATTGGAATGAACTACTAAAATAAACATACTGGTAGAGCTTGACCCGAAACTGGGTCTACATAATCTCCAGACAATAGAAAGATTCTGGTCCTCAGTGTCTGTGGTGTCCTTCAGTGGAACATGCCAAAGATACAGGAGAACGGGAGAGCCTTGGAAGTTGCATGAAAGGGTCCTTCTGGGAGAAGCCAGTGGATTTATTCCACTGGGTGACAGGGGCTGCATTTGTCTGTTTGCTAGTAGCTGTCTTTGGGAAAAGAATCTCCTGTTCTTGCTGGTACTAGAAGTCCTGTGCAGTTGGGCAAAATGTAATTCCTTCATCCTCAGACCCCATCCCTCAGCAGAAGACTCATTGTTTTAAGCTATTATGCTATCAATTCCAGAGAGACAAGAACTTCTTTGACACTACCTTAGAGACTCCAAGAAACTAAACTATTCCGGATTCAGAGGACCGACACAGGTGACCAGGCAAAGAAAAATTACAACTCACTTCAAGGCCTCAGGAGCGTGAGGAAGGGCAGGCTAAACAATCAGAACTGGTAGCTCCTATTGAGTCAGAAACAATGGAAGAGACAGAAATAAATAGAAAAAAACTGTAATCAACAGGAAATGAAAATTATTCTCAAGTAGGTAAAATCAACACAAAGAAGAAAAAAAAAACCCTCTGGAACTAAACATTACTCACCAAGAACTCTGCAATGAGTCTAAATAGCTGCTCTGAACAAAAACTACAACAGTAAATTTTGAAGAATATAAAACCTTCCCCCACTATTAAATTTGCAGAGGAATTGAAATGTAAAAATTAAACCCCACTACCCTCCAAGCTGACTCAGATGGTTGGGTAGGATCAGGATTCTTTTAATGGCAGAATCATGGGCTATCTTTTATTGACATGGATACAATTCTTTCAGACCCTTGGAAGTGAAATTATTTCAATTTCACATCTCTCTTTGGTATCCCACTTTTTAAGGAATCCTAAGAGTTGGAAGGTCATACAAGATTATTTTAGTGCCAGCCACATGCACTAAAAAATTCAAAATAAACCGATCTCTGGATGAAAGATAGTTATCCCAGCCAAAATCTTGTGTTCTTAGAACCTAGATCTTAGTGCAATCTGAGTCCATGTAACAATGGCCAAGTACCAAAGGAAAGATCATTTGTATCCAAATGAGTGAAAATGGTGTTTGAGATTTGCCAGGATAACTTTCAGTCTATGCCAGTTGTCTGAAAGCACAACCTCAAGCTTACTCATTTCTGAGACATCTTCCAATTAGTGGGTAAGTAGAGACCACTGAAGAACAGGGCCCCCTCTCCCACTAAGTGAGACTTGAGACTTCGCCACCGTCTTACAAAATCTAGACATTTAGCATACTAACATTGCTAGTCACCAGGTCTTAGTTGACACATGCCTCTTTCACACCCAGCACCTTCGAAATCTAGTGAGTTCCCTTACAGTTTTGTGTTTCCAGCATGCCAGCGCTGAGCTGGGTAGGAGTTTTGTATAATGGCATGACCTTCATTCTCTCTGATTAAGGGGGAGTTAAGGTCTCTCCTGCGGCAGCCTCTTGCTTTGAAATTGCTTGGGTCTGGACCTGCCTCTTAGAGAAGTTCCCTCCCTGTTCCCTTATCTGTTCTGGAGAATCAACATTACCTGGGGCAGCAGGCGATGTTGCTACTGCTTTTGACCCAGGAGCATGGAAGTATTGATCCTTCTGCCTATTAATCTTTCCCAGCATTGTTCCTTCCCTTGGATTTTGGATTTCATAGGCCTTGAAAATCTTGTGCCACTTTAAAAACAGCAGGATATATATTTTCTTCAACATTGTTTCTCACGTGCTAGTGAAGATATTCCTCCAATGTTCTTTTTATGTAGGTTATTCCCTGTCTTTTTGAAAAATACCTGGATAAGTCTTAACAGCTTAAATCTGCTACTCAATTTGGCCTCTTCTATTACCTTTTCTAGGATTAGCATTCTTTGCTATATTTTGGTGTTTTTAATTTTTTTTTTATTATGAGCCAACACATTTGTTTTTCTAGCATATTCCTCTTGATTTTTTCTTGCATGGTAATTGATCATGAGAGGTAGGAAGTCAACAAGTTCTAGGCCTGCCAAACACATTCATTGTATAAATGAGTCTTATCCAACTTTATGTCCCTAATGAGAAATCCACCTGGGAGGCATTTTTCCACTGGAAGACATCTAAACCAGAACTGGTCCTGCTCTATTTACCAGCTTTTCTTTCCTGTGCTGTGTATAACTACAAAGTCCTAACTTCATTAATTCCTTGGGCAAATTTCCTCAGAGCGGTAGTTCTCATCTGGGAGTGATTTTGCCCCTCTTTCCCCAGAAGGTTTTTGGCAAAGCCTCCAGACAGTTTTGGTTGTCATAACTGCGAGATTGATACTGGCATCTAGTGGGTAGAAGTTACAGATACTGTTAAACATCCTATAATACTAGGGTAGTCCCCACAACAATGACTTCTTCCAAAAAATGTCAATAGTACCAAGGTTAAATTGTGTCTCTGAGGATAGGAGATATATTTATGGCCCTTACAGTAATAAGTTACCTTCAACTCACCTAATAATGGCATCAAGAATTCAGCACCCCCCTTCAGAGGCTTCTCTGCAATCCATCCGGTTGTTCTAGAATCACTTGTTAGGACTGCACAATCTATAAGCAGTGAATCTAGTCGCTCTTTTTTATGGATTTTACCTGGAGCTTTAAGAGGGAACCTCTAAATGTTTTCCTCAGTGGGCCCTGTTGGAAGTATTATAGGTTGCTCTCTGATGCCTTGTGCCTCGTATGTTTTTTCTGCAACCCTGGTCACAGGTGCATGAATGGCTTCACTATTTCTTCTTCAAGAGCACCATCCTAAGAAGCAGTTAGGAATGAGCTTCTTTTCTTTATCTTGTTGGGTTTTTTTTATTATGTTATGTTAATCACCATACATTACATCATTAGTTTTTGATGTAGTGTATATCTTGTTTTATCTGTATAGGCAGGCCTACAATCTATCAATTTCCCTTCCTTTTGATCGAAATCTGTCTATTGCAATCTCAGTTTTTCTCTCCCCCCCCAGAATCTCTTACTTCCTTGAGTATGATTAACTGATATTTCTTTATTTTTATGTTATTGTCCCACTGCTGCTTTTCTGATAAGACTGAAATGGTTTTAAAACCAGTCCAGTCACTTGTTGACTTCTTGAGCAAATTTAATTCTTAAAGTTATAGTATAATTTGCAAGGCCTTTTAAGTGGCTTTATCAACATTTGGATCTATATTAATTATATTAATATTTGAATTGTCTTTGTATCTAAATCCTAGGACATGCATATTCCCTACAAAAGATCTTTGTTTTATTTGACCTGTTCCTTAACATACTTCTGTAGCTACAACTGTAATGTGAGTCTCCAAATCCATAGTGCAGACCTGATTATGTAGTCAACAAATCTAGAAGAAACCCTTAGACTATATGCAGCAGTATGATTCTAAGGACCCATGGGAAAGCCGCAAGACTTTGGGTACCTCCGACCCATTCATTCCTTGGCCCCAGATACAGTTTAAAATAATATACGGTTGCTAACAGCACTGCCCACTTATTTTTCATACCAAATCTCACACTAGTTCTTGGTAACCAACCTTAATTTAAAATCTGATCCTGTGCCTTCATTGAAAGATACAGGAAAAGCAATAAAAGATTATTGTGTGTATCAGTGCCTAAAATGTCTATGTTGTGAGTCCTACCCCGTTGGTTGTAAGGTTTTACAGTGACCGAAAGACATCTTTTCTCTTTAACCAAGTGGCTCTCAAACTAAGCTGCACGTAGAGACTATTAGGTGAGGTTTAAGAAAAATAGTGCCTGAATCCTATCCCCAAAGATTCAGATATAAACAGTCTGGGTGATGGCCTGGACATTGGCAGTTTTAAAAGCTTTTCAGGTAATCCTGAAGGTGAGAATTAACAGCCAAATTTAGAACTATTGCATAACCTAATCCTCGCTGTGCTGTCATGGGTCAGATAGAGGTCAGCTGTAGGAACCTGTACAATCCTGGCTTAATAAAGCGCATGCAACTCTGCTTGTTAACTAGTGCCTATTAAAGTAGTCATGAACACATGAAAAGAGCCATTGGTCTGTGTACAAAAGTCATAATGATCCACTGGGATAAAAATCCTTTGTTGCCTGTGTGTAATACATCCTTAAAACCTAACAAACCAGAAACTTCACCATCTATATGTTATATCATAGACCAAGTTCTAGTCCTTTTGTTTAGGACTCAAGGATTGTGACCAATGCCATAAAACTTTAGACTTTGGAAGTGATGATTATCAGAATTCTTTCTGGCTCTGAATTTCAGAACCAAATAAGGGATAAACAGATGAGTCAGAAAGAATGAGAGCAAAATAGCTTCGTAACTGATAAAACCAAATTTACGATCATTTGAGTG